TAGTTCAGATCACTCTTTTCCAGCCAGCATTACACGCTTGTTACAGAAAATCGCGCTGTGAGTGTTTCGACACACCTCGACTGTTAGGGTAACTTCCGATGGAACGATAAGAAACCTTTCACATCCTTCATCACTGTACCAATACTATTTTTAACGCGTAGAAAATTGCAAAAGAAAAAGTTTCACGAAAATCTACGCTATCGAAAAGACAGCAAAAAAAAAAAAAAAAAAAAAAGAAAGAAATTACATCAAAGTGCAACGGAACAGTGTAAAAATCTAATTTTTCTGAAATTACGTTTGTGAAAGGAAGAAGTACGAAATGAAAGGGTGAATCGTAACCCTATCAGTCGAGGTTCGAAAATCAGCAAATAAATATTTCTATCCTATACTCAAACCGAGCACAAAGAGTGTAACGAACTCTGAAGCAAAGCGTGCTCCTTGAATCGTGTATTCGATTCGAAACGAATGCTTCTAAACTAGGCTCTCGCGAATGCCTTTTCTGCAATCGTGGTTCGTTGTGGCACGGACAAACGCGTGAATCGAAAAAACGATGATACGTGTCCCCTAATATTAATAATACGATACAATCGGTGTATGTATGTGTGTGATGGCTATAGCCTACGTAGCCTCCAAGTTAAATGAGAAATATCACGGTCCGCTCTATTAGCTATTAATACTTCATTATTGCGCTACAACAAAATGGGAAATGATAGCAAAGATCCACTTCCTTCGCCTCTTCAACGAATTCGCGACCGACAATACATATATATAAATTATTCTATAGAACGTGTGAGTCCCAAATGCACTTTAGATTCCGGTCTAGTCGGGACGTTCAGGTACCAGAAAACACGAAGGAGTAGCTTTCGATTAATCATATTTTGTTCCTTTTTTCCGTTTGTTTTTTAAATTCGTCGATCCCGACAAAGAATCAAATAATCTCTCTCTGATGTTTATTTTCAATTATATTTCTGCAAGATCTCGTTTGATCACGTTAAACAAAAGCGTACATTAGTTCCTATTTTATATTTAAATGTATCGGAGAAACTTAAAGCCTTGAAACGTTTAACCCTTCCAGCCTTGGTTCTTCTCTCGTTATACATTTCTTTCTTCCGATTCTAATTAAACATTTCGGCAACGACAAACGGATACCATAGAAAACATTGTACAAAAGTGTGAAATTGAAAACGTAGAAAAAGTGGTGTCCTAACTATCGCGCGTGAATTTTCCATCTTTCACCTCGTTCTACGTTACGCTACAATTAATTTATACTGGGATGTGTTAGAAAGAAGCTTCGGGATATATTAAGCGCAAGAGCCAATAGAGGCTGGAAGGGTTAGCTTTTACAAGTAATGAATATCGCACCCTACTGCTACGTTAAGTTTGACAATTTAATTGCAAAGGGACGATACAGCGAATACCTCTAATTTAACTAAGAAACATCGGCTACAATAACATTACCCACAGAACGCGGCTGCCTTGCAAATTACATTCGCAAGAATCCCCCGAAACGCTACAAATCATCGTCGCGCTACTACGGATTACCAAATCTCCGTTAACCCTTTCGCTACGAAGAGCAACCATCACTTTTGCATTAATCACCTACGTTAGACAACGAATATCTTGTGTGTATGTATGTATGTGTGTATGTGCAACAAATCGAATATATTTATCCACAACGTGACGCGGAAAATTTTCTTCAACCCTTTCGTGACCAGTGGGACGCGAATCCCACTTGAGTATTCAAGCAAGAACATTCATCTGAACTTCAGTAGTTATACAATTACAAACGCGACAGATCAGCAGATAAATAAAGAAATTCTTGAGAAAAAGGAATTATTCGGTCACGAAGGGGTTAAAATCATCTCCGTATCGAGATGAAAATTCGATTGTCAGTTCGAATGAAATATATTAAATTAGATTATCCTAATAAGGCCAGAAGAGAAACATAGAGAAATTTCCACAAATATATGAAATTTCTTGCACAAACATTCGATCGATACTTCTCGATCATCTAAAAACACGCGCGTATCACCGATCACAATTCGACGAGTCGATGCAACGTAGCGCTTCGACGAAAATTCCTGTCGATCGTTTTCTCCGATTTCTAGCCATTTAAGAAGAAGAAGAAGAAGAACTCTGCCGTGGCGAAAGGGCGGATATCCTTATAATCGATCCCACTGCGCCCCGAGAAGCAAGCACCGTGGATCGTCACCGGACGATCGTCGATCGTTCCGACTAGATCGGCGTACCTCTAGAGATTCGTTTGCTTTTCCTTTTCCTTTTTTTTTTTCACTCGCGTGGAGGAGACACCGTAGCTGCAGCCGAACGGAGACACGGAAAGAGGCGGGCTCTTCCTTCAGCTACACCGGAAGTCGCGAG